CTTGGATGTCTTTCTCTTGTCTTATTGCCCTGGCTAGGACTTCCAGTATTATATTGAAAAGCAATGGTGAGAGTGGACATCCTTGTCTTGTTCCAGATCTTAATGGAATTGCTTTCAGCTTTTCACCATTGAGAATGATACTGGCTGTTGGCTGTCATAGATGGCCTTTATGATGTTGAGGTATGTTCCTTGTATCCCCAGAATTTCAAGGGCTTTTATCATGAATGGGTGTTGCACTTTGTCGAAAGCTTTCTCAGCATCTATTGATATTATCATATGGTTTTTATATTTCTTTTTGTTGATGTGTTGGATAACGTTGATTGATTTTCGGATGTTAAACCATCCTTGTGCCCCTGGAATGAATCCAACTTGGTCGTGGTGAATTATCTTATGGATACATTGTTGGATTCTGATAGCTAAAATTTTATTGAGGATTTTTGCATCAGTGTTCATTAGGGAGATTGGCCTGTAGTTTTCCTTTTTTGTGTTGTCCTTGTTCGGTTTGGGTATTAGTGTAATGTTGGCTTCATAAAACGTGTTTGGTATTGTCCCTTCCTTCTCAATTTTTGGAAGAGTTTGTGAAGGATAGGCACTAATTCGTCTCTGAATGTTTGGTAGAATTCATTTGTAAATCCATCAGGTCCTGGGCTTTTGTTTTTGGGGAGTTTTTTTATTACCATTTCAATTTCGCTAATTGTAATTGGTCTGTTTAGGTGTTCTATTTCTTCTTTATCTAGCTTTGGGTGATTGTAGAGTTGTAGGAATTTGTCCATCTCCTCTAGATTGTTAAACTTGTTTCCATATAACTGTTCATAGTAGTTACTGATTATTCTTTTGATTTCTGCTGTGTCCGTTGTGATTTCTCCTCTTTCATTGATGATCCTGTTTATTTGTGCTTTCTCCCTTTTTTCCTTTGTGAGCCTGGCTAGGGGTTTGTCTATTTTATTGATTTTTTTAAAAACCAGCTCTTGGTTTCATTGATCTTTTGGATTGTTTTTTTAGTTTCAATTTCATTTATTTCTGCTTTGGTTTTTATTATTCTTTCTTCTACTGGTTTTGGGTTTTTTTGTTGTTCTTTTTCTAGATCTTTGAGCTTCGAGATGAGGTTGTTCTTTGCGTTCTTTCTGTTTCTTGATGTGAGCTTCTATTGCTATATATTTTCCTCTTATTACTGCTTTTGCTGCATCCCATACATTTAGGATATTAGTGTCCTCCTTGTCGTTCAATTCAAAAAATTTTTTAATTTCTTCTTTGATCTCCTCATTAGTCCAATGGTCTTCCAGTAGTGTGGTTTTTAATCTCCATGAGGTAGGAAAGTTCCTTGCCTTCTTTTTATGGTTTATTTCTAGTTTGATGCCTTCATGGTCAGAAAAGATGGTTGATATGATTTCAATCTTGTGTATCTGTTGATGTTTGTCTTGTGCCCCAGTATGTGATCGATCCTGGAGAATGATCTGTGTGCGCTTGAGAAAAATGTGTACTCCGTTTTTTGGGTTTAGTGTTCTATAGATGTCTGTTAAGCCTAATTGCTCTAGGTCCTTATTTAGAGCTTTGTTTCTTTACTTATTTTTTGTCTTGTTGATCTATCCATTGTTGATAGTGGTGTGTTGAAGTCTCCCACTACGTATGTGTTTTCTCTGATGTCTGTTTTCAGAGAGGACAACAGTTGTGATATATTTTGGTGCTCCTTCGTTTGGTGAGTATATGTTTAATGAGTGTTATTCTTCTTGAAGTATTGTCCCCTGATCAATAATGTAGTGACCATTGGGGTCTCTTTTTTCTTTTTGAGTTTGAAATCTGTTTTATCTGATATAAGTATAGCTGTTTCCTGCTTCTTTTT